CAGTCCGCCTAGAAGCATTTGCGGTGCACGATGGAGGGGCCGGACTCATCGTATTCCTGCTTGCTGATCCACATCTGCTGGAAGGTGGACAGGGAGGCCAAGATGGAGCCACCGATCCACACAGAGTACTTGCGCTCAGGAGGAGCAATGATCTGAAGAAAGGAAGAGATACAGTGATGGTGAGTATTCTGGATGCCAGTCTTACCTGCAGCCAAAGTGTTTGCTCTAGCAACCACAGGGCCCACCCCAACATGGGTCCAGGCCTAAGGGTGCTTAGCTCACCTTGATCTTCATGGTGCTGGGAGCCAGAGCAGTGATCTCCTTCTGCATCCGGTCGGCAATGCCTGGGTACATGGTGGTGCCACCCGACAGCACTGTGTTGGCATAGAGGTCTTTGCGGATGTCAACGTCACACTTCATGATGGAATTGAATGTAGTTTCATGGATGCCACAGGATTCCATACCTGAGGGGAAAGGGAGACAGAGACTTAATAGTGTTGACTCAAGAATTGGTCACCATTAGATGGAGAAGGAACTAGGTCACTCAACTCACCCAGGAAGGAAGGCTGGAAAAGAGCCTCAGGGCAGCGGAACCGCTCGTTTCCAATAGTGATGACCTGGCCGTCAGGCAGCTCATAGCTCTTCTCCAGGGAAGAAGAGGATGCAGCAGTGGCCATCTCTTGCTCGAAGTCCAGGGCAACATAGCACAGCTTCTCTTTGATGTCACGCACGATTTCCCTCTCGGCTGTGGTGGTGAAGCTATAGCCACGCTCAGTCAGGATCTTCATGAGGTAGTCTGTCAGGTCCCGGCCAGCCAGGTCCAGACGCAGGATGGCATGAGGGAGAGCGTAGCCCTCATAGATGGGCACAGTGTGGGTGACCCCGTCTCCGGAGTCCATCACAATGCCAGTGGTACGACCAGAGGCATACAGGGACAGCACAGCCTGAATGGCTACGTACATGGCTGGGGTATTGAAGGTCTCAAACATGATCTGAGTCATCTTTTCACGGTTGGCCTTGGGGTTCAGGGGGGCCTCAGTGAGCAGCACAGAGTGCTCCTCAGGGGCCACACGCAGCTCATTGTAGAAGGTGTGGTGCCAGATCTTCTCCATATCGTCCCAGCTGGTGACAATGCCGTGTTCAATAGGATACTTCAGGGTCAGAATGCCTCTCTTGCTCTGGGCCTCGTCGCCCACGTAGGAGTCCTTCTGGCCCATGCCCACCATCACACCCTGATGCCTAGGGCGGCCCACGATCGAGGGGAAGACGGCCCCAGGAGCATTGTCGCCCAAGAAGCCGGCTTTGCACAAGTCGGAGCCATTGTGGACAACGACAACGAGCGCAGCGATATCGTCATCCATGGCGAACTGGTGGCGGGTGTGGAGCGGCGAAGAAAGAGCTGCGAGAGGCCTGTGCTCGCGGGTGGACGCGGACTCGACAGTCTGTTTTTTCTTATAGCTTATATACCCCAACAAAATCCTCCAAGCAATACAAAAATTATAATATGGTTACATTCTACTTTTAAGTGAATGATTACAATGAATACAAGAAAAATACAATATGTTTCCCATTTTTATTACATGATTAAACATTTATGTATTATATGTGAAAAACAAATTATCCCCAAGATCCCACATACATTTAAACATTCATCTTTTAGACTTCTCATAGATCAGGAGCCTTTCAGTCATAATCGTTTACACAGTCAGTATTTTTTATAGCTGCCAGAAAAACAGGTAACTTATTTCACTTTTCATATTTAGAATCCTGTCCAACTATCTTAACTAGCTATCCAATTCTTTGTTTTCTAGTTACATGAAGTCAATTGTTGAAAGCTTTGTTTTAGCTGTGATGCACACCAAAAGCCGTGAAAATATTTCCCTATGTCAAAAAGAATTTGAGCTAACTCCTGTGACTCTATTGCTTGCCTTAATCACTAACCTAAAGCATAGGCTATACGGCTCCTCAAGAGAAACTCAGAAGTCCTAGCTGCGTGACACTTCCTTGTTTGTATTTTCTATCCCCTGCAGCTCCTGCCTTAGTGAGGTGGGAGCAACACTATATCCTACCTTTACCTATATTAATTTTACCTCTAGACAAACTTCTAGCCCTAAGTCTAACCCTAGTCCCATACTACATTCATTTAAATCCTTCATCATCAAAAATTGTATTTAAACTACCATTATTATTGTATAAAGTCATTACTTCAATTGAATATTACAGCTCAAGAGGACATGATCATCACAATAACCCACAGGTAAAAATGTCCACTAGAACAGGATAGTTCCATGA